TAACATTCCAGGCATTAATAATGCTATTTTATACACAGTTTCATTTCAAAAATATGTTCAAGCCAAATCTGAACTGCTGGGTTGAAATCAAGGAAACTGTACAATGGAGGAACCAAAGTCATCAGGTTTGATCTTCAGGAGCTAGAAGACATTATCATCTTTGAAACTCTTGCAGGTGGTTCCCCTAATGGTTCTTGGTATTTACTGTAAAATTTTGGTTGGCTTCTGAAGAACTGGAGAAAACATAGCCATCAGCAGTGGTGTGACTGTGTGTTGTGTTTCATGGTTATCGATGATGATTTGTTTGGTCATAGTGTCTGTGTGGTGTCCTGTGGCACCCTGACTTCGCTCTGCTGAGTGGATGACAACTATGGCCAGAATAAAAACCTATTTGGGGTAAAAACCTGAGGGTTTTGAGACTCTCTGCTGTAAGTGAATGTATTTATAATGTGGATCTCTGCAAGAATGACCAGTCATTGCCTAGTAAAAGTATGGTGGGATTTGATGCTTCCTGGTCTTCAACGTTTTAGTTCTAGATTGATACAGACACTTCTTCCAGCATCACGCCTTCCTCCTGAAGGGTGGATGAATGTTAATTCAGTCAGTGCCATCAAATGAACAGTCTTGTTTTTTTTTTTTTTTTTAGTACCTGTTTCCCCTAAAAGGCTCGTATTTGTAGCAATATCCAAATCTAACTCAGTTTTATTGTAATACTGCACCTTGCAGACAAAGAGTGCTTGTACCTCTTCTCTGGACAGCCAGATATTCGATCATGAACTCATTTTATTGTGAATGTAGTTGTTTTACAGCAGAGATTTATAGCCTTGGATATAATTTGCAGTGCGGGAGAGTCCCTGTTGCTCTACAGGATTGTACCCTAAAGTAATCCTCTTTTTCAGAGAGAGCTAGGTTACCTGATCTGTAATACAAATTATGGCCATGACCATCAGTCTTTTGGGCTGGCAGATATTCTGCCAGACAGAGCAAGTAGTCCAGTACAAATCAGGTACTGTTTTAAACTCACCTGGTGAATTGTAGAGTTCAGCCTCTATATCCATAGGTACACAGATATGACCTGTGTGGTCACCCAAGGGGAAGGCAAAATGTGTTTTTAGTTAAGTTGCATGAGAATGTAATTGAAAGATTTAGGGCAATGCTATAAAAGAGTAAATCATGGTTATGTGACACACAGAAGATTGATAAAGCAAAATAAAAATACTTTAGCACCTTCACTTTTATAATTTGGTTGGTATAAGTGGAAGGCTGTACTAGTCATTTTTGTCTGCTGGTAATTAAAAACAAACAAACAAAAAGTAAAGGCTTCTGTATTTTACTGATTTTCAGTCCTTTGGTGTAAAATAATGGACAAGACAGTAGCAAAGGTCAAAACATTCTCCAGACACATTGCGGTTCTGGACCTGCAAGCACTCTCTGCTTCCTTCCCATGAATATTTGTATTGAATGTATGGTGGCTCCTCAGAAATGAGGACTATTAAGTGATTCAGATGAAACACAAGCTTAATGTAAGACCAGACCTTATGTGGATGGTGGTCCTGAAATTTGACCAGCCTCCACAGCAGTGGGGCTACTGCATGCGTGATGGTCTTGCTCTATGGAAGGACCATAGCACAGTAAAGTGCTTGGGGATATTTTGGAAAGGAGAGCTAGGGTAGTTCCATACAAATGTGACCTTCAGCGCAGGTTTTGTGAGGATTTGCCCAATCTATTGAAGTGGACTGTATATATTATATGTTGTAGTGTTGATAGGTTTAGATAAGAATATCATAACAGCCATTGAAATGTGGGGGGTGGGTGGGTTGTGAGATGGTAGGTTAATGATGTAGCTGTTAATTTGAATTTAGCAGTCATTTTAAATATAGGTTTCTCTTACAGAGACAAAAGTTGCAATTTAAAGCTCTTTGGTGGTCTAAAAACAGCTTAATTCTCTAGTAGCATGGTAATAAGTACTAATCCAGCTTATACAGTGATTGTAGTATGTCATGTTTGTGAAAGATTGCCTAACTCTGCTTTCTCTGGGTTTTATGTTAATTTTTTTAAATTAAACATAAAACCTTATAACATCTTTATGCTGAGATAAACTGTTCAATTTAACTTGTGCTCAAGCAGCAGCTGTCAGGAATTATCATGTTTCAAGCATTCTTGCCGTCACCTTGTGTCTCTACCTCCTGGATACCCTCCGTGGGATGATAAAGCTCACCTTGTTAGGATTTATTACTTAAATAATAACCCGAGGTAAAATGAAAGTTGATGTCACACAGAATGACAACTGACATATATTTATGTTGCACGTTACATTATAATGAACTTCTTTTTCTTCCCCTTGTAATAGGTGTTAAATGGAAATACACTCCAGCATATACTCCAGTGCCCTGCGTGAGTCCATTAGCCACGTATGTGGCTGCTCTCTTGACATGTTCATGAGGACTCGTGCTGTCAGGTGTTATTTAGGCTTATAATGCTGGAGAAATTGGTTATCACTGGTAGTTAGCAGCCTTTATGCCAGTGAAGAAACAAATATAAGAGCATCTCATATTCATTTGGTTTAATTCTGTGTACTCATATTTATTGGGTTAAATTTTGAAATGATGTGAAGTAATGCAAGCTAATCAGGAAGGGTATTTTCTAATAATATCATCACTTAAATGGATTTATTTTTCTTTTTTTCTTGCTGTAAGAAACGTAAGCAGTGTCATTTCAGGCTCTAAATCTGAATTTGTTAGTAATCGCGACAGTTTTCTCTTGACACTGGTTTACTGATGAGCTGGACAGTGATAAGTGGTGTGCTTGTTAATCGAGTCTTCACACTCCATGTACAGAGGAGAAAATTTGGGTCTACTTCTTAAAAGCTTTTCAAGTTTTTGGCCTTTCTTGCGTTACTAAAAGCCCACCTTCAGTGCTCTTGAATTCCACCAGTTTGTGTACACCAGTACTGCAAACACTATTTTCCTTATATAGTGTTTCCTTATATAGTATAACCATTTTTTTTTTTCCATATTCCTCTCCTAATTATTCTGTTGGCCATCTGAGTGAGTTGAGATATTTCAGACCTACACAGTTTTGCCTAAGCTTATATCTTGGGATCTCACCTCTTGTGCTCCCCATTGTCCTTTTCTCTCCAGTAGTGATGTTAACCTTGGCACCCCCACTATCTTCTCTTTTCACTCCTGCTTTTGTGCTTTGTTCTGCACTGCGTCCTGTGTTTTCAATCCCAATTGCCATCTCTTTTTTTTCTCTCCCTTCAGATGCAGCCAAGTTCATAGATGCTGTCCTGCATCACTTCAGTTTTCTTCCTAACTCATTGCAGAAAGTGACTTCCTGAAAAATTGGGGAAGGATAAACTATAATACAACCCAGAAATAGACAAAATTTTGCGAAGCAATGAATTAATCTGATTTTTGTAATATTTGGGGTCTGTTTTCTCCTGTTTGTATTCTTTTGTGTACCTCTAGTACTAAACTCACAGCCATCTCTGAGCAGGCGTATTGCATCACCTGTAGGAAGCTTTCCTGCCTCTGCTTTGAATCTGGCACCCTGGTCATCCGTTATTAGTTTTCGTAACAGATTAGTGATGACTTAGGTAAAACTATTTTTTCCTCTTAGCATGGCTTGCGATAAACCCAAGCTCATATCGTAATTGGAATTCTGTTTGACAGTCCCTTAAAATGGTCAAATATTTGATGAACATCATACATAGCATTTATCTCTTACTTTCAGAAGCCTTTCAGATCAGCATTGACTGAGGTTGATGAAGACGGATACAGGATCTGTTCTCTAGGAAGTATTTGTTCTGTAGATATAGAGTATCTAACAACGTGTATGTTACTGTAGATGATGGTGTGATATATGTGGATATTTGGGAAAGTTCACGAGTTTTAAGGTTGACAGCCGGAATCATGAGTTTGTAAGATTTGTGATGCAAGTTTGGCAGTAATCTTTAACACAAATTCATGTAAAAACAGGAAGAATGAGAAAAATAGAATGAAGGATAGGAATAAAAAGAAACATGCTATGTTAAAAAGTAGTTTATTAAAGCTATAATGCCTATTTTCTGTATTTTGTTTTCCTTTTTTTTCCCTTTCTGTCTGTTTTGATGAGAAATGTCTAACACAAATGTCTGGCTGCTCAGTTCTCTGTAGGTTCAGTATTCAGTTTGCTTGAAAACAGTGCTAGCAGGGGACAGGAGATGCTCACATACTTTGGTTGAAATGCAGGGTAATCTGCCACTGGTTACAGTAAGGTCACAATTTCATATTACACATTTAAATACATTCATTTTCTGATAGCCTGGGAAGTTATACAAGGCTAAGATAGCAGCTTGTTAGTGTTGTTTGTGCCTGCTTTATATAATTGAAGGATGCATGCAGTATTATAGACTGTGGAATAGCTGGAGTGCTACAGCAATTCTAAAAGGGTGCAAGGGTAGAAACAACATTTCATTATAGAGGATACCTAATAAAAATGTGAAAGTAAAACAGAAAAAGGGGGGGGGGGGGGACACAGAAAAACAGACCATTCTAGATAAGTGCAGTGCATAAATCAAAAGGGTTTATGTCATAACATGAACATGTACCATTCCTGCTCATATATTGAATTTCAGTAGTCAGTTGCATAAAGAAGTAAAGTGTAATGAAACTGGCAAGCAAAGTATTCCCTAGTCAGCCTTATCTTTGTTCCATTTGTCCTTCAGATACAGCTTTTCTTGCCTTTTTCAATAAAATCCATCCAGCTTTTTTTTTTATTTTGCATCTCTCTGTAACTGAGCTGGGAGGACCAATGAGATTTGGTGCTTTTCTAGTTGGGTTCTTAGCAGCTGCTTTTTAAGAGATCAAAACTTAGAATGCTGCTACATGGTATTAAGGCTTAGCTGTTGATGTGTCCCTATAGGGGTTATGTTTTTCCTGGGGAGGAGGGAGAAGGGGAAGAGGTGACCCCTGTGAGCATGCTCACAGACAGTAAACACTGCTCTCCTTGTTTTCCAGGATCCTCTTTGCAAGCTCGGTGCTTAACCTGGCTGAACTCACTGCCCTCCGCCCTGACCTTGGCAAATTGAAAAAGGTCCTCTACTTCCATGAGAACCAATTGGTATATCCTGTCCAGAAATGCCAGGAAAGGGATTTTCAGTATGGATACAACCAGATTCTTTCATGGTAGGTATTTCTCACATTGCTCCATGGTAGTTAAGATATCCTACTGTCTATAACCTGGCAGCATTGTAAGCCTGAGGAGTCCTTCTCCGCATAGATGGTAGCCCTATAAGCAAACTGAGGTACTTCCAGAGACCTGAAGAGAGGTCGGTAAAAGCACTGTGGCAGAAAGAATCAACTCCATAAACTTGTCTCTATTGTGTAATGCCTACTGATGCTCTGTTGGGCTACTATGGTGTACCCATTAGTGATGGGGATTTTGAACTATTTCTTGGTCATAAGTGAGATGCTTTGTTTCATGAATGCTTCGCCAAGCTGCAGCTAAACAGCTCTTGCTGGGCCATAGCTTTTACTGCATCCAACTGAAATTATGTAGAGGGTTTTAGGGAAATAAACAGAAATTAAAATATACTGCAGCACTTTTCTTATGAAGAGAGGGCAGTAAACTTACCAGATAAATCCTTATATTTCTTTCATGTAGCATTCAGAAATTGTGTAGTGCTAAAATGCCCACGCATTTTAAAGGCTGTGGCCCTTTATTGTTGCTAAAACCAAATGTATTTCTTTAATATGAGTTAACGAAATAAGTTAATAACAGCAACACTGAAAAGCTTTGTGGTTAGGCACTATACAGACTAAAGTGAAACACCAACACTTTTTTTTTTTTAACTGAAATTTATTTCCATGATCTTTCTCGCCTGTTAGTAGGAGAATTATTAGGAATAGGGATTGAGCATTTTAAGGCACAAATTAAGCTTTAGCATCTTTCATTTAATACTGAAATTTCTCAAATAATCTCTCTGCTCTAGCCATTCTGTAGCTGCTTCTGCCACTGCATTTGCAACATGTTTCACTTATTGAGCAGTAAAGATAAGGAACTATAGTAAAGTATTTTTTGAAAAAACTGTAGCAGGCATTTTCAGACGTTACAACAAAAAAGATGTATTTTTTGCCACTGGGGCAAGGAATACCCTTTTTTTAATATATATATATGTGTTGCTTTGTTATGGCAGTTATTTTTCACACAGCTATTGTAAACTAACAAACATCCTCAAAATATGCATTTTTAGGATTATGAAAGTATCTTTTTTATTAGGAAAAAAAAAGATGACTTCTATTCTGCCTTGTTCAGACTCCAGTAGCTTCTCCATGTGATTATATGACATGTATGTTCCATTTCTGTTACTGCAGAAACTCCATTTCTAACAACAGATAGAAGCTATCTCCTCTGTACTGTTAGTTGCTACCTACATCCGCAAAGAAATGCCATCTTCCTGTCTTCCAGATCTGTTAGAAATAGGAAAATACATCTTTCCAGTTTTGCACAGAGCTTTTTGGAGGTGATTAAAATAAAGAGCACTCTGAATCTTCAAGTTGGTACTTTGGGTTATTAAGAAAGATTTTATTTTTTTTTCTCTCCCCGCTGTTACTGGAGAGTTAATGTAATAAAATCACACTTTTCAGTGGTGGCTGATTTCTTTTAGCTGCTCAGGCAGTGATGGGATCTTTCTAATTTGACAGTGATATGCAGAGCCTGCAGGAAAAAGTTAGGCAGGTTAGACTTCATGCACAGGAGAAGCAGACATGATACAATTAGAAACTTGCTACATGTCAGGGAGCAGTAAAGAAACACGCCATGCTCCTGCGCTGTCTCATGTCGTCTGTAAACCTATACAGCAAAGACAACTGGATCATTTGTACAAAAATGAGACCATTGGGTTAAAAGCCATAGATGTGGGAGAGTGTGGAATTCGTGCAGCCTGCTTGTAAAGGATTGTTTCTCTCTGTTGTTGGTCTTTTTGCTTTTCCTGCTGACTGCTGCTGCTTTGGTGAGCAGTGCCAGTTTTCTCTTGACCAGACGGCTGAGAGATGCAGTGAGGATGAATGACAGTCTCTCACCTCAAATATACTTTTCACCAACCTAGTGACTTACAAACACATGTCCTCAATGTATCTTATGACCCATGGGTCTGTATCACAATATATAACATACTGAGAAAACCAGCCGGCCATAAAGCATTTCTTACCTCAGTTAGTGTTGCGTGTTTGCCAGTGTAGCTAAGATTCTGTCAGCACTTCCAAAATAAACTTTCAGGTTTTCTGATTTAACGTGTAGATGAGGCCCTCAGTGGCATGGTTTAGTGGTGGTCTTGGCAGTCCTGGGGTAATGGTGGGACTTGATGATCTTAAAGATCTTTTCCAGCCTAGCTGAGTCAATGATTCTATAGCTCCTTGATTTCTCCAGGCTAAGTGGAGAAATAATACCTATGTTATCATTTAACCTAATTTTAAGATTATTGATCCATGTGATTTTAAAACACAGCAGTAAAGAACAAAACATGACAATAATATGCCAATTTTTTATCAAACTTTTTTTTTGATGCTTTGTGCTATGTATTTTGTATATTATAAATTATTAATATAATATCTATTTGGTGGATATAGTTCTAATCAGGATTATGTATGCATAGGTTAAAAAAACATTCCATATCTCTAGTAACCTGCTACCTGCCACACATGGTCAGTTGAAGGTAGGTTAACCAAAAGAAAGGTGTCCTTCAGTAGAAAGGAGTATTTATAAGGAATTTCCATTTTCTTCCAAGTTTACTTCTACTGAAGTTTTGTTACAATAGGCCTTACCTCTTTATATTTTAAGAGATAATGACAGTAATACTGTTTTCACCATTTTATGAATGGAAAGTAATCCACAGTTAGAATGGGACGTGCTCCTTTAGATTAATATTAGCAATTTATTACTTAGTTTAAAAAAAGTTTAAAAATATTTCAAAGAGTGAATAGACAGAAATCAAGACATTTCTGATTAAGGTATATGTTTCTCCCAATTCAAATGAAAAGGCTGATTTTAATTAGCATTCCACTTGCACCTTTTGTTTGTTTATGAGAATATGTGTCCTATTTCTACTGCATGCAAAATAATTCCGTTCCTTTTGTGCAGCAGCATGCTCATTAATCTTAACCACTTTTTACAGCTTGGTTGCTGATGTGGTGGTGTTCAACTCTGCTTTTAATATGGAATCGTTTCTTACATCCATTGGAAAATTTATGAAGCTGATTCCTGACCACAGACCTAAGGATTTGGAAAAAATGATCAGACCAAAGTGCCAAGTTCTTTATTTTCCAGTCAGGTTTCCTGATGTGAGCAGGTCAGTACATTTTCCACGTCATAAATTGCTTCCAGCCTGTCAAAACTCTCTGTTTATGGTGACGTTCCAACTAATCAGCTAAAGCTTTGTTAATGAAAGAGTTTGATAACATGCAAAATCCCCTAACTGATAAATGTATTTCAATATTTAGAGGTTATTCAGGCAGTGTCTGATCTGCTGAACCTGTCCTGAGCAAGTCATACAAACTTGCGTTATTCAGGATGAGTGATTTCAGACTAGTTTTAGTGATTTCCCACTTGTTCTAGTCTTTAAGGAGTTGCTTGCTCCCCAGCTCTGTATATGTTTGAACAGGAGAGGTCAAGGAAGAGAAAGAAACGCTAGAAAACAGTAAAAGTGATAAGCCAGTAGTTAAGAAGCTATATTTCCCTTGGTGTGTTGCAGTGGGATTTTATTCCCTCCTCCCCCACTCCTACCTCTTCTTTTATTGTTTTCCAGGTAGGTGAAAAGCATCCCAGTAGCAGGGAGCAGACCTGCAGAAGTTGGCATTAGTTGCAGTGGTAGCTGTTCTTCAGCCGTTCTCAGTTACTCTAAAGGACGTTTTTTATTACCCTTGTTTCAGAGCCTGTCTTGAAATTAGCAGTGGGTTATGTGGCTCAAAGGGAACATTCGCTAGATCCTTTTCACTTTTGATTAAACCTAGCACAATTGTTTTTCCTCTTATAAGGGACTCTCCTCCCACCAAACAGGAACTTTGCTTCAATGGGACTGGCACTAAATAAAGTATGATTCTTCAATTTGATTATACTCTTAAAGCCAACATGATGCTGGGTACGTTTTTTTTTAATCTGAACTAAGGATGGAAAGCACCATAATGACTTTGCCAGAATACAGCTTTTGATCTGATAATAAGTTCTGGCCACACTCGATATCTTTGTCACCCACCAGCTTGTACTTACAGTTCTGTCAGAGCATAGGCTGAATGTACATTTGTGGTAGTTTGGGGTAGGGAGGTTTTTGGTACAGAAGCTGAGGTTATGCTGTCTGTTAATGTTCACACTGCAAGGTTTGCATTTCAGTGTCTTGGAAAACTTTATATTCCAAAGCACTGATGCAACTAATTTAGAAATCAATGTTTAAAGTTAAGTCTTTAAAACCTGTGTTTTCAGCGTGTTAAAATCCTCCACTGTTCTTTAGAGACTTGGCTGCCTGGATGGAGTGGTGGACAGTACCTTGCCTGTGTATCTTTGAGGATCTACTATTGCTTCTTAGAGATCATATTTTTCAAGAGCAAGGCAATGCTATGAATGCTCAGCATATTTGATATCGAGCCCCTTTAAAAGGGTCTTGTGGCTTTGGCATACTTTTGGAAGTCATGTGGCCCAAGCCTCGTTTTGGAGATGAAGTTGTGATAACCCTGTCTCATACATTAAATCAGCTCTTTTGCACTTGTCAGCCCTGGCAGATGGGGTCAGATGAGACCTGAAAAATTAGTCTGAAGTCATACACTCAGTGATCATTTGTCCAAAGCAGAAGGTGATAAAGTGGGTAAAATCATTAGACTACTACCCAAACTGGTAAAGGAGGAAGATGTCACATTTAATTGTGTGCTCTTCTTAATGTCCTGGTCTGGTATTAAACCTCGTCTCACAAAGCAGGACGCCTTTCATGTTTTAATTGTGATTGTTGCACTTGAAATTATATCAAAAAGCTAATTTCAGCAGTGATGGACAAAATTAAGATGTTCATAAACAACTGTGTCCCTGTAAAATTTTTTCAGCAGAGTAACCAGAAACACAGATTAACTATCAGTTCTATTATTTCTAATACATAATGAATTCAACAACTAATTCTTGTGTAAGATCTGGGTGTTTTTAGACAAATCCCAGTATCATCAGAGTTAAAAAAAAAGAAGGAAGGACTGCTTCTGCATGACTCTGAAGTTTTTTTGGGTTTTGACCTTCAGCTGCAACCAATATTTATTATTTCTTTCAAGATCATGTTTTAAATAATGCTGAATGCACCTGATGTTGTGGCAACTGCATGCTGGTTTGTTTTTTTCTTTAACTCAGACTGCATTAGCATAGTGACTGAGTGGAGATTGAGGAGAAAAAGGTTAAGAAAAATTGTGTCCAAGCTAAAATTTATAAAGCAAGCTCTTAGCCCAGAGTGTTTTTCAAGTTATTTTCAAATGGTAATTTGCTTTATCCAAACCAAACTCATACAGTGTAAGTAAGTGATTATTTGCATGACTGAATCATTTCAGTGCCTGCAGTCTTTTTAAAATGCATAATTTTGTTGAGATGTTAGGAAAATATTTTAAAATTCTGAAGGCAAAATAACCAGGGTGAATTTTTTTTTTTTCATTGACCTCTTTTATTTTGTGTGTGAATGTCTCAGGGTGTGTTTGTGTCTGAAACATAATCTGCATTTTGGATTTGGGAGGGAGGTAGTCAAAGAAATCATCCTCATGCATGTGATGGTGATCTTTTAAGATATTTTAAGATTAATATTGCAATTCTAGAGCAAAATATAATATATTTGACCCTTGAGAAAGAGCATGTCACATGGGTTAATCTGGTAGCATATCTACCTCTTAATGTAATTACTGTAGGTGATGGGTACACAAACTGGCACAAGCAACAGAGTAAATGAAGGTATAAGGAGGAACATTACCCTAGGAAATACTTCTGAATACTATTAGAGGTACTGTTAGATATATATATATATAATGTATCTTTAAATGTTTCAGATGGGCACCTAATCACTGCTTTTTTGCCTTTGAGAAGAAGTTATCAATGCTTTTTTATAAAGATTCTTCTTTTTAATAAATATTTGTCATAACGGCACAATTTGTGTTCCCAGAGCAAACTACCAGGCTGTGGTCCTTATCTGACAATGAGAGGAGATGAAACGATTTGAGGATTTAGCAGAATAAGAAATTTACTGACTTAATCCTCCCGTTTTCTGGTTCTCACAATGACTAGCTTCCATATTGCTTGCTGTGGTGCCACAACTACTCCATACTTAATCACACTCTATCATTCCTGACTTGGAATTCTCCTCTTCATACTTTCTGATGAAGTGTATTATATAGAAATACATATTGGAGTACTTGTAAGCCTGGAGTGAAAAAGGCCTTCAGAGTTGAGTCTGTCACTTCATAGTGCATGGGTATTTCAGGAGGTGTAGACCAGTAGATGACCTATTTATGTTGCATATCAGTGTATGGGGTTTTATAACACAGGGAATTAAATACATTGCAATTCACACTTACACTGTCATTGGCTTAATTTCAGTATATTTTCTATTATAATGTAAATAAAATCCTAAATATTTGGGGCTTGGGTTTGTTTTCCTGTGCAGTCAATAGAGTCTGTTTTGATACAGCCCATTTCCACTTTCGCACTAGAAAACAATGATCCAGGAAGAAAATCGCCTTTCTAGTGATGCTGTCTTTGCTATTCACATCTCTATTTGCCATCAGAGCCTGCTGCAATACCTCTGCAAGGTCTTTTGTGATATTTTGTATGAATTCTCTTGGTTCGTCTGCATCCAGTGCTGTGTGGCAGTCAGCAGAGTGAGGTCAGATTAGGTACTCCTTGGAATTCATGTAAATTAGAATTGTAATATAGATTTTGGTTATTATTTCTATTCCTCTGACTGTAGTATATCTTTATTATTATCATGATGTGGTAGAAGAGGAAGATGTTTTTATAAGCAACAATGGAGTAAAGTTCCTAAGAGCTCAAAATGTACATTGGACTGAGGTGAAATAATATAAAAGAAACATGAGAGGATGAGGATTAGAGCAGAAAACAAAAATACTTTCTTTTAAGTGGAATTTGTTATCGAGCATCTTGTACTATCTGTTACACATTTTGATGCAGAATTAAAAATTTTAGACTGTTGTTTCTTAATTAGTTTTTATAACTTAGTGCAGTTAAAAGGAAATTTTCAACTATGTGATTTTATTTTTTTTTTAGTTATAGTTGTAAGAGAGGCAGAATTTGCAATTTAGAGAGTAGTTTAGGGACAGTCAGGGGAGTTCCTTGATAAAGCATAAGTTTTTAAAAGACACTGATAGGATTTCTTGTACAGAAATGTGACTGTCACATGTGGGGGAGCCTGTTTTGGGGAAAACAGAAAAAAAATGCGTGTTAGACCAGGCTTGCAGGGCTGAGCTGCAGACCTCCGTTTAGATAACTAAGGGAATCTAATCATATCATTATACAATAGCTTTGCTGTGTGGGAAAAGTACGTATGTCAACAAGCAAGGAGAGTCTTGAGTCCATGGAAGCTCAAAGCTATAGATGGGTACTGGGGACATAGCTGTGTTGCACAGAGAGAAGTTCAGCAGTGGTATCTATGTGAGCTCTAGTGAACTGTCTTGTATATAGGAAGCAGTATACCTTAGAAGAGCAGTTTTTGGCTAATTAACCTTCCAGTAAAATAGCATATATTAGCTTAGGCGGGGTACTGTGCTAATGATAGTGATTCTGGTACTGAGGCTAGCTACTGCCTTTGGTGGTGGCTTAGGCATCTCCATGGTGTGCCGTGCTCTCTCTGGTAGGTATAGCCTCCCTGCCACCACGGTTTATAGGTAGTTAGCATAATTAGAAAATGCCAATAGACTGCTTCTACCTTGGGGCTTGCTGCTGAAGAACTGGGTGATGGAAATTACTTCCCTAAATGTCTTTCCTCCTCACCTGCTGCGAGCAGGTTTTGAGGGTTAATGTTGGCACTCTGAGTTATGCAATAAGCATGAGGGATGCTGTCAAGATCTGGGACACAGCGCCTATTGGGAGGTGGGTGCGGTATAGGTTCAAAAGGGGCATAAAATGGAATTTTTCAGCTCTAGAGCCTTTAGTAGCAGGTCAGTTACCATCTGCATCAGGGTAAGTGCTAAGTGCAGGTAGCTGCACCTACAGTAAGGCGGTGGTGGTTGAGTGAAGGGTGCCTCAGGCATCCATATTCAGTGGGGCTTTCTTACATGCTGCTTCCTCTGTATATTCATTGTGTGCCAGTGGGGAGGTGGGTGA